CTGCCGGGGGATGGGCGGGCGGTCGCCTTGGGTGCTGGAGGCTGGTGGCACTCACGGCTCCCCCGCGCATTCCTCACAGCACCAGGCGGGGCAGGCCCCACACCTGGGCAGTGGACAGCCCCAGCAGAATCTGTATCACCCGGGGGCCCTGACAGGCACGCCGCCCTCTCTGCCTCCGGGACCTTCTGCCCAGTCCCCTCAGAGCAGCTTCCCCCAGCCAGCCGCTGTGTACGCCATCCACCCCCACCAGCAGCTGCCCCACAGCTTCACCAACATGGCCCACGTCACCCAGGTGAGTGCGGAGAACAGGGCCCTGGGAGCCCCTGGTGCGCCCCCTGCAGGAGTGCCCGGCACGTTTTCTCCTCTCTGCAGGCCCATGTCCAAACTGGAATCACAGCAGCCCCGCCCCCTCACCCTGGGGCTCCCCACCCGCCCCAGGTGATGCTGCTGCACCCACCTCAGAGCCATGGGGGGCCCCCCCAAGGCGCGGTGCCCCAGAGTGGGGTGCCTGCACTCTCAGCTTCCACACCCTCACCCTACCCCTACATCGGACACCCCCAAGGTGAGCAGCCTGGCCAGGCGCCTGGATTTCCAGGAGGAGCCGATGACAGGATTCGTGAGTTCTCGTTAGCTGGGGGAATTTGGCATGGAAGAGCTGAGGGGCTGCAGGTGGGGCAGGATGCACGGGTTCTGGGCGGGGAGTGAGGGGTCTTGGAGGCAGGGCTGTCCCGCCGGGCGCCCGCCGACCTGCACCTGTCTGTGAAGTATGTAGGGTGGGCAGAAGCCACAGTCGCCGCCGCCAGGGGCTTGCTCCTGGCTCTGTCCTTTGCTTCCCTCCGTCCTCGCTCAGTTGTGATCCAGCAGCCCCCCTCCCCACTGCCTCCCCAGCTCTCAGTGACCCCGACTGTCTCCTGACTTAGCCGAGGTAAGGTCAGCGCAGCAGACAGGGCCAGGCTGGGTGCGGGGGGCTGTGCTGGGCACACGAGTGAGGGCTCTGGCTTACTGGGAAACGGCGATTGACCTGTGCTCTGACAGCCCCAGGAGACACCTCGAGGAGGCCACTCCTTCCCACTTAGCCCGCAACCCCCGGACGCATTGGTGAAGGGACAGCTGCTTGGGTTCTAATGCTCCTGCTCTCTTCTCTCTCCCCTCCAACCAGTTCAATCTCATCCCTCCCAGCAGCTCCCCTTCCACCCCCCGGGGAACTGAAGATTGTCCTGGCCGCGACCTGAGACCTCCATGAGTGGAGGGAGGAGTGACCTATGTGTCTTCCCCCAGCAGCTTGGACCAGTCCCAGCCCCACCCCGTCCCTGGGAGCTGAGGTTCCTGCCAAGCACCTTGAATGGGGGGGGCCTGGAAGTGGGCAGTGCCAGGGTCCAGCGGGTGGGGGGGTCCTGCTCTGCCCCGCCTGTTCCACCGTCTTGCCCTCCCATCCTCTCATCTATTCCCCGCTGGAGACAGAAGATCTTTTATTTTCTATTATTTATAATCTCAGACTTGGGCCCCCGTTCTTTCTTCCAATTAACGAGTGATCTGCGTGAGAGACAGACAGATGCCCCACGAGGATGGTTGGACAAGGACTTTTACTTTTTATTACATAAAAATATTAAAAAAATAAATAAAAAAAATAAAATTTTAAACTAACGTTAACCTGACCATGGTTTGCTCTTTGGAGGTGAGGGTTAGATTACAGTGCAGTTTTGGGGTGCTAGGATTATACTCATTTTACCCATTCTTGCCCAGTTTTGCCAAACCTCGGGAGGGTGGGTTGAGGGGACCAGAGTGGACGCCTGAAGGTGTGAAGTGGACTGTGACGTGGCTGAAAGTAGCACCTGGCTAATTATGTCTACTCTTCACATGATTTTTTATGGTATATATTTTTAGTAATTCTCTTAAAACATTCATTATGTACCTATCTGAAGAGTTTTTAGCGCTCCTGATGACTGGAAATACAGACTAGGAAGGACTCACTGGTGCAGGCTGAGGTCTGTGGGGTGTGTGTGGTAAGGCCTGTGAAGGTGACATTGAGTGAGTGGTTGGAGAACCAACCAGGTTTAGGGCAACCAGCATTGAAGTAGGGGTTGGGAGCCAGGTGTGTAGCCCCAGCTCTTGAGAGGCTAAGAGAATCATTGGGGGTTCAAGGCCAGCCTGGGCTACATAGCAGCAAGACCATGTCAAAAATAAAATTAGGATGGGAAGATTACCATAGGTGTTTTTCTTGTTTTTTGTTTATTGTATCAGGGATTGAACTCAAGTCCCTGGTGCTTGCAAGGCAGGCAGCAGAACCAGAGCTAAATCCCTAGTCCAGGATGGGAAGATTGAAGGAACTGAAGGAAGCGTGAGCTATGGAAAGAGTAAGTTCGCAGGTGGCTTTTTTGGCAGTTTCCCCTCCCTCCCTCCCTCGGGATTGTTAAGAAGGCCCTGTTGCTCACTGTTGAGCAGTGCTAAGTCTCAGACCAAAGCCAGAGAACTGAAGGCAGAAAGACTCCAGGTTCTGAGGATCTGTTATCTTGGGCATGGTAGGGAGAAGACTATTTTAGTGATAGAAGAAACTTTTAAGTGCCAGTCTCTTGGCTGCTAACTGGCCGAGGCTGGGGGACACTGGAATTGGGGCGGCAGTGGTTCAGGCTGGCCTTGAACTTGGGATCCTCCCACTTCCACTGGGGCTATAGGTGTGTTCCACAAACTCAGCTGGAAAGCTGCCTTTTTTGTTTGGGGTTAGTTTCCTTGCTAGTTACTCCAAGTTTAAGAAACAGCTACCAAGGATACAGCACAGTGGCACTGTGCCTTCTTTGCAAGTGCAAGGTTTGTTTGAGCTTGATCCCTAGTTCTAAAAAAACAGTGTGCACGCACGCACACGCGCACACTTTTTTTTTTTGATCGAGACAGGGTCTCACTATGTAGTTGAGCCTTACCTGGAACTCGCTATGTAGCCCAGGCTGCTCTCGAACTCACAGCGACCCCCTTGCCTCAGCCTCCAGAGTGCTGGGATTACAGGTGTGCACCACCACGCCCAGCTAAAACTGCTACATATTTTTAATACGGTAAATGGTCTTTATTTCAAACCTCAGCAAATATTGAAACTTTTTAAAGCCAGGACCTGCCTTCATATACCAGGCTACATCCCTAGCTGTTTTGTTGAGGTCAGGCTCTTGTTCAGTTGCCTAGACTGGTTTTATTTTCTGGTACTAGGCGATTGAACTCTGGCCCTTGTGCTTGCAAGGCAGGCAGCAGAACCACTGACCTAAATCCCAGGCACAGGTCCTGAGTTTTTAAAAAGTGTGTGCTACGCTTTCGAGTACGCATTACAATGCCTGACTGGACCTCTTCAGGTGTGGAAACAAGCCAGCGGCAGTTAGCCACTGAGCTGCACCTCTAGTCCTGTTTCCCAGATTGGCCTTGAACTTGCGATCACCTGCTGTGGCCTTCAAAGCTGGGGTTCCAGGTGCTTGCTACCACACTGCCTAACTCATCTCGACCTTCCATCTGTTTCAGTTCTCAGATGGGGTAGGTAACTACTAAAGCACCCAGAAACTACTCAAATGGAAAGAGGCCTTGGCCTGAGCAGAGCACATGGTGGTGCTAACCATTCTGCCTGGTGGTACCGGGCATGGAACCAGGGTCTTCACTCTGAGACAGGGTCTCAAGTCACTAAGTTCCAGGCTGGGTTTGAACTTGGTATCCTCCTGCCTCAGCTTCCTAGGACTCTGCTCCTGTTCTATTATTTACTAAGCAATCACACACAGCTCAACGGACTAGATTCCTTTGAAGCTGTCATAGCAGTGAAGATGGCCTTGAAGAGCCTGCCCAGCCTGGTCAGAGATAATCTTGACGTTAGAGGAACACAGTTAAAATGGCCCTGGGACCTAATGAGCTTCTACATCTTCCTGTACCCCGTCTTCTCCAATGTACAAGAAGGACACAGACACAGGCTGGCTCACTATTCACAGAACGGTTTACTGGCCTACCTTGCCCAGCAGGCCAGCCCTGTAGGCGGGCGTGTCCATCTAGCTGCCCCCTGTGGTGGCAGCTCATGCCCCAGGGGGCACAGAAGCAGGAGGAAGACCGGGCAGAGAAGTCCTAAACTCCGGACAACATGAGCAGAGGTCCAGACTCAACTCCACTTGAGGGTCTCATCCTCCTTGGTCATGGCCAGCGTGTCAGTGACAAGGCCGGTACCGATGGTGCGGTTGCCATCTCTCAGGGTGAAGCGCTGGCCTTTCTCGAGGATCATTGGCTGTCGCAAGATGAGGCTGAGCTTTAGGTCCTCCCCGGGCATGACGAGCTCCTGAAGCAGAGAGAAGTGCCCAGGCTTCAGGGTCGTCTCAAACATGCAAACAACACCGAAGAACATGAAAGAGCCGCCAGTCTGCATTCCTCAGGAATCTTGGGTCGAGCAGGTTCACAGGACTTCCCTGAGCCCCTATGTTTAGTAAGAGACTTGACAAAAGCAGGCTTTTCAGAGGAACCACTCTGCGGGTCAAACGCTGGTGTGGCTAACCTTTTAACCTGCTTCAGCCTGGGGGTGAAGCTTCACCTGCAGGGCCAGCAGCCAGGCTCTCTACCTGAGGAAGTGGCCACCTGGGCTGTGGCAGCCCTGGGGACTGCAGAGTACTCACTCTGCCCCTGCATGTCCCGTACCCCTCCTACCTTCCCTGGAGGCAAGATGACCCGACAGGCCATGTCCCAAGTGAGCGAGAACATGACAGGCATGAAGTGAGACACAAAGGGCTTGTGGCGGCCACCTTCCTCCTTGCTGAGAATGTAAACCTGAGGAGGAGAATGGGAGGAGCTAGGCCTGGCCGGAAGCCCTGCTCCTTTCAGAGAAGCCTGGCTCAGCCCTGCTCAGCATCCCTGCGGCTCTCACCTGCGCCTCCACCTTCTGGTGCGGCTGGAGGGAGCCCGGCTTGACCATGACCAGGCCTCGCCTCAGATCCTCCCGCTTCAAGCCTCGGACCAGGGCCCCGAGGTTATCTCCTGCCTCTGCCCTCTCCAGGCTCTTGTGGAACATCTCGATGCCTGTGGGAGGAGCAGAAAGGGTCAGAGGGCTCACAGGATTTCTGGGCAGGGGCCGCTGGAAGCAGTCCCGGGTCTCGAGACCCCTTCCTTACCTGTCACCACAGTGCGAATGTTCTTGCTGTGCCCCAGGAACTCACACTCGTCTCCCCTCTTCAAAGTGCCGCACTCTAGTGTACCTGTCACCACGGTGCCTCGGCCTGGGAGGAAACAGGACAGGACATCAAGGGCCCTGGGCTCGGCTGCTGCTTCAGGGAGGAGGGGCATGGAGAAAGTGCTCACCTGGAATAGAGTAAATAGACTCTACAGGCATCAGGAAGGGCTTCTCCAGGTCCCGGGTGGGCACTGGGATATGAGTGTCCACAGCATCCAGCAGCTTCTGCACAGACTTCACACCCAGCTCGGGGTCACGCTGCTGTTGGGAGAAGGGGACAGGACGCAAACAGTTTCCACAACGCTCCGCTAAACGAGAGCGACCACAGTGCAAGGCTCTGGAAGCCATCTAACCCCACCCTCTTCAGCAGCACCCCTGCCCTCACCTCCAGGGCACAGAGGGCAGAGCCCACGATGACAGGGGTCTCTTCCCCCTTGTAGCCAAACTCGCTGAGCAGTTCCCGGATTTCCAGCTCCACCAGCTCCACCACCTCCGAGTCCTGGACAGCGTCGGCTTTGTTCACATACACCACGATGTGCTCTACTCCAATCTGCGGAGGACAGCTGGTGTCCAGGGTCTGGTGCCCCGCTCCCACCCTTGGCACCACCACCCTGACCCAATACCTGTTTGGCCAGCAGCAGGTGCTCTCGGGTCTGGGGCATGGGGCCATCATTGGCCGCAACCACCAGGATGCAGCCATCCAAGGGAGCAGTGCCTGTGATCATATTCTAGGGAGGAGGAAGGGGAGCGACCTTGCAGTGAGCGCCTTCTCCCACCTTTGAGTGGTCGTGGCCACATCCGTCACCCCTTTTTTAGCCGGAGTCTTGCTGTATAGTTCAGGCTGGCCTCCAACTTGCAGCAATCCTCCCGCCCCAGCCTCCTAAATTCTGGGATCGCAGGCGGCTGCCACTAGTATCACTGTACCCGCCCCCCGCCGGACCCAGCACGCACGTCCACGGGGGCGGCCGACCTTCACGTAATCCGCGTGGCCCGGGCAGTCGGTGTGGGCATAGTGGCGGGCAGCAGTGCTGTACTCTACGTGGGCCGCATTGATAGTGATGCCCCGCGCCCGCTCCTCGGGGGCGTTGTCGATCTCTTCGTATTTCTTGAATCTGGCCCCGCCTCCCTCGGCCAGAACTAACGGAGGGCAGAGAACAGCCTTTGGGCTCCAACTCCGAGACAGCCTGAGGCGGAGGCGGAGGCGCGGGCCACACCCCGGGCCCTGGCGACCCCCACC